GCATTATTCTCCTTTGTCTCTCCCCCTCTCTCCTGTTCCTCCTCCCTTGAGACATCTCCCCCCCCACCCCCTATCTCCCCATGATCCCCACCCTCCTCCTCCCCTTGCCCCCCTCTCTCTCCACCTCCTCCCCCTTTGTCTCCCTCTCCCCACCCTCCTCCCCTTGTCTCTCCCCCCACCCTCCTCCCCCTCGTCTTCCCTCTCTCTCTACACCCTCTCCTCCTCCCTATTCTCCCCCTCTCCCTCCCTTTGTCTCTCAATTCCCCCCACCTCCCTCTCCCCTTGTCTCTCTCCTCTCTAATTCTCCCTCCCCCTTATTCCTCTCTAATTCTCCTCCCCCTTCCCTCCCTCCCCCTCCTCCCCCCTTGTCTTCCCTCTCTCCACCTCCCTCCCCTTTATTCCTCTCCCACCCACCTCCCTTGTCTCTCTCCCCCTCTCCCCACCCTCCTCTCCCTATCTCCCTCTCTCTCACCCTCCCTCTCCCTTGCGCCCCTCCCCCCCCCACACCTCCCTCCCCTTTGTCTCCCTCCTCTCTCTCCCACCTCTCCCTCCCCCCTTGTCTCTCCCTCCTCTCACCCTCCTTCCCCTTTGTCTTCCCCCCCTGCACCTCCTCTCCCTTTGTCTTCCCTCTCTCTCACCCCTCCTCCCCCTTTGTCTTCTCCCTCTCTCTACAACCCTTCTGTCCCCCCTTGTCCTCTCCCCACCCTCCTCCCCTTTATTCCTCTCCCTCTCTCTCACCTCCTCCTCCCCCTTTATGGTCTCTCCTTCTCTCTCACCCTCCTCCCCCGAGAGGTCTTCCTCTCTCCTTCACACCTCCTCCCTCCCCCTATCTTCCCTCTCTCCCCACCCTCCTCCCCCCTCGTCTTCCTCTCTCCCCACCCTCCCTCCCCTTATTCTCTCCCTCTCTCACCCCCTCCTCCCCCTTTGTCTCCCCTCCCTCACCTCCTCCCTCCCCTTGTCTTCTCCCTCTCCCCACCCTCCTCCCCCTTCTTTGTCTTCTCCTCCCTCTCCCCACCTCCTCCCCTTTGTCTTCCCTCTCTGACCTCCTCCCTGTCTCTCCCCCCCACCTCCCCTGCCTCCCCACCTCCTCCCTGGCCTTCCTCTCTCCTCACCCTCCTCCCTTGTCTCTCCCCCTCTCTCACCTCCCTCCTCCTTGTCTTCCCCCACTCCCACCCTCCTCCCCTTTTCTTCCCTCACACCCTCACCTCCTCCCCATAGACCCCCCTCTCTCTCTCACCTCCCTCCCCTAGTCTCTCCCTCTCTCCCACCCCCCTCCTCCCCCTTGTCTTCCCCTCCTCTCTCTCTCTCACCTCCTCCTCCTTATCTCTCACTCACCTCCTCCCCTTGTCTTCCCCCTCTCTCACCCTCCCTCCTCCCTCCTTGTCTTCCCTCTCTCTCCCCACCCCCTCCCACTTATGCCCTCTCTCCCCACCCTCCCTCCCCTTGTCTTCCCCTCTCACCCACCTCCCCTCCTCCCCTGTCTTCCTCTCTCTCCACCTCCTCCCCCTTGTCTCTCCCTCTCTCACCCTCCCTCCCCTTGTCCCCCTTCTCTCTCCCCACCTCCCTCCCCCCTTGTCTTCCCTCCCTCTCTCCACCTCCCTCCCCCTTGTCTCTCCCCTTCTCTCACCTCCCCCCTCATTGTCTTCCCTCACCTCACCTCCTCCTTCTCCCTTTTCTCCACCTCCTCCCTTCTTCCCTCTCCCTCACCTCCTCCCCCTGACCCTCTCCCTCTCCACCCTCCTCCCCTAGCCCTCCCTCTCCCACCCCTCCTCCTCCTTGTCTTCCCTCCCCCACCTCCTCCCTCCTCCCCCCTTGTCTCTCTCACCCCCTCCTCCCCCTTGTCTTCCCCCCTCTCTCCCCACCCTCCTCCTCCTCCCAATTGTCCTCCCCTCTCTCTCACCTCCCACTTGTCTTCTCCCTCCCTCTCTTACCCTCCCTCCCCTTGTCTTCCCTCTCCTCTCTCTCACCTCCCTCCCTCCTTTGTCTTCTCTCTCTCACTCCCTCCCCCTTGTCTTCCCTCACACCTCTCTCCCCCCCTCCCTCTCCCCACCCTCCTCCCCTGAGTCTCTCCCCACACCCTCCCTACACTGTTCCGCGGCTAACCCTCTTTCTCCCATTGTTCCCACAGCTGTCCCACACTCATTGTCTCTCTCAGTTGTCCTGTCCCACAGTTGTTTCACAGCCAGTTGTCCCAACTGTCCCACAGCTGTCCCGAAGAGTTCTACAGTCAGCTGTCTCATAGTGCTGTCCCTTGTAGTCAGTTGTCCCCACAGCATATGTTCCAACAGTCAGTTGACCCCACAGTTACTGTTCCCACAGTCAGCTGACCCACAGTTAGATTGTTCCCACGGTCATTGTCCCTACAGTTAGTTGTCCCAACAGCCAGTTGTCCCCACAGTAGTTGTTCCCACAGTCAGTTGTCCCCACAGTAGTTGTTCCCACAGTCAGTTGACCCCACAGTTAGTTGTTCCCACAGTCAGCTGAACTCACAGTTAGTTGTTCCCACGGTCAGTTGTCCCCACAGTTAGTTGTCCCAACAGTCAGTTGTCCCTACATAGTTGTCCCAACAATCAGCTGCCCCACAGGTTCTTCCCACAGTTAGTTGTTCCCACAGTCATTGTCCCCACAGTTAGTTGTTCCCACAGTTAGTTGTCATCACAGTCAGTTGTTCCCACAGTTAGTCGTTCCCACAGTTAGATGTTCCCACAGTCAGTTGTCCCCACAGTCAGTTGTTCCCATGTTAGTTGTTCCTACAGTTAGTTGTCCCCACAGTCAGTTGTTCCCACAGTTAGTCGTTCCCACAAAGTTGTCTCACAGTCAGTTGACCCCACAGTCAGTTGTTCCCACAGTCAGTCCCCACAGTTAGTTGTCCCCACAGTCATTGTTCCACAGTTAGTCGTTCCCACAGTTAGTTGTTCCCCCAGTCAGTTGTCCCTACAATTAGTTGTTCCCACAGTTAGTTGTCCCCACAGTCATTTGTCCCCACAGTTAGTTTTCCCCACAGTCAGTTGTCCCCTCAGTTAGTTGTTCCACAGCAGTTGTCCCCACAGTTAGTTGTTCCCACAGTCAGTTGTTCCCACAGTTAGTAGTTCCCACTGTCAGTTGTCCCCACAGTTAGCCGTTCCCACAGTTAGTTGTTCCCACAGTCAGTTGTCCCCACAGTGTGTCCCAACAGTTAGTTGTCCCCACAGTTAGTTGTTCCCACAGTTAGTTGTTCCCACAGTCAGTTGTACCCACACAGTTGTTCCCATTAGTTGTCCCCACAGTCAGTTGTTCCTAACAGTTGTCGTTCCCACTGTTAGATGTTCCCACAGTCAGTTGTTCCCACAGCAGTCGTTCCCACAGTCAGTTGTCCCCACAGTCAGTTGTTCCACAGTTGTTCCCACAGTTAGTTGTCCCCACAGTCAGTTGTTCCCACAGTTAGTCGTTCCCACAGTTAGTTGTTCCCACAGTCAGTTGTTCCCACAGTTAGTTGTCCCCACAGTCAGTTGTTCCCACAGTTAGTCGTTCCCACAATTAGATGTTCTCACAGTCAGTTGACCCCACAGTTAGTTGTACCTACAGTCAGTTGTCCCCACTGTTAGTTGTCACCCACAGTCAGTTGTTCCCACAGTTAGTCGTTCCCACAGCAGATTTTCCCATAGTCAGTTGTTCCCACAGTTAGTCGTTCCCACACTCAGTTGTCCCCACAGTCAGTTGTTCCCACAGTCAGTTGTCCCCACAGTCAGTTGTCCCCACAGTCAGTTGTCTCCACAGTTAGTTGTTCCCACAGTCAGTTGTCCCCACAGTTAGTTGTCCCCATAGTCAGTTGTTCCCCACAGTTAGTAGTTCCCACAGTCAGTTGTCCCCACAGTTAGTTGTCCCACATTTAGTGTCCTCAGTTAGTTGTTCCCATAGTCAGTTGTCCCCACAGTTAGTTGTTCCCACAGTTAGTTGTCCCCACAGTCAGTTGTTCCCACAGTTAGTCGTTCCCACAGTTAGTTGTTCCCACAGTCAGTTGTTCCCACAGTTAGTCGTTCCCACAGTCAGTTGTCCCCACAGTCAGTTGTTCCTACAGTTAGTTGTTCCACAGTCAGTTGACCCACAGTTAGTTGTTCCCACAGTCAGTTGTCCCCACAGTTAGTTGTCCCAACAGTTAGTTGTCCCCACAGTTACTTGTTCCCACAGTCAGTTGTGCCTACAGTTAGTTGTTCCCACAGTTAGTTGTCCCACAGTTAGTTGTTCACAGTCAGTTGTCCCCACAGTTAGTTGTTCCTACAGTTATTTGTCCCACAGTCAGTTGTTCCCACAGCCAGTCGTTCCTACAGTTAGATGTTCCCACAGTCAGTTGTTCCTGCAGTTGTCGTTCACAGTCAGTTGTCCCCACAGTCAGTTGTTCCCACAGTTAGTTGTTCCCACAGTTAATTGTCTTCAGCAGTTGTTCCCACAGTTAGTCGTTCCTACGTTAGTTGTTCCCGCAGTCAGTTGACCCCACAGTAGTTGTCCCACAGCAGTTGTCCCCACAGTTAGTTGTCCCACAGTCAGTTGTACCCACAGTTAGTCGTTCCTACAGTTAGATGTTCCCACAGTCAGTTGTTCCCCACAGTTAGTCGTTCCCACAGTCAGTTATCCCACAGTCAGTTGTTCCCACAGTTAGTTGTTCCCACAGTTAGTTGTCCCCACAGCCAGTTGTTCCTAATTTAGTCGTTCCCACAGTCAGTTGTTCCCACAGTCATTTGTCCCCACAGTTTGTTGTTCCCACAGTCAGTTGTCCCAGTCAGTTGTTGTCCCCACAGTCAGTTGTCCCCACAGTTAGTTGTCCCCACAAAGTTGTTCCCACAGTCAGTTGTCCCACAGTTAGTTGTCCCTATAGTCAGTTGTTCCCACAGTAGTAGTTCCCACAGACAGTTGTCCCCACATGTTGTCCCCACAGGTTGTCTTCACAGTTAGTTGCTCCCACAGTCAGTTGTCCCCACAGTCAGTTGTTCCCACAGCCGGTTGTTCCTACAGTTAGTCGTTCC